TGCGTAATACTCCGTAATAAATTGCGTAATATTATGTAATAAATTGCGCAATATTATGTCCAGACCGTAATTCTTGCACAATATTATAGGCCGTAATATCTTACGTAAGATTACGTTTATATAATTTGCTGATGTAGATGCTAAATATTTTTCAAAAATAGACTTATACTTTAGCTATTATAAGATTCAAATCAAAAAAGAAGACACACTTAAAACTGCTTTCTGAACCTGCTATAACATTATGAATTTCTTGTATTACTATTTGGCCTTAAAAAGCACCTACTATATTTATAACACTTATGAACAATATTTTCAAAGATTAGCTAGATAAATTTGTAATTGTTTATTTAGATGACTTTTTTATATATAGCAAAACAAGACAAGATCACCTAACACACCTTCAAAAAGTTTTAGAAATTCTATAGCAATATTAGCTCTATGCTAAAACCTCTAAATGCGAATTTTTAAAATAAAAAGTTAAATATCTTAAACATGTTATATTTGCTAATGAACTTTCAGTTGATGATAAAAAAATTATCACTATCAAAAATTGGCCAATTTCTACCAACATAACAAAAGTTCACTCCTTTCTTGGCCTTGCTAGTTACTATTGAAAGTTTGTGAAAGGTTTTTCTTTCATTGCTGCCCCTTTACATAGCTGTTATATAAGGACCAACCTTTCTAATAGTCGAAAGATAATGCTTTTGAATCTTTAAAGTTTCAATTTATCTCTGCTTCTGTTCTTACTCTTCCTGACTCTACCAAACCTTTTTTTATCATAACAGATACCTCTAACTGCTGTTCTCAGCCAAGATTATAGTAAAGGCAATTAGCCTATTGTCTATAAGTCTAGGAAGCTGATATCTGCTGAGTTGAACTACCCCACATACAAAAAGGAACTGTTAGCTATAGTTCATGCTATTAAGCTATGGCATCCTTATATAGAAGGAAAAAAATTTATAGTAATCATGGACTATGCCTTGTTGAAATACATTAAGTCTCAATCCCAACTTTTACAAAGACAAGCAAGGTGGTTAGAAGTCCTGCAATCAATGAAATTTGATGTAAAGTATAAACTAGGAAAAACTAATATTGTTGTCAATGCCTTATTCTAGCAAACCTACTTGAATCATTTTACCACAATTACAGCTGAGTTGACTAATGAAAAGTTCTTTGAACAAGAATATTTTAAAAACAATTATTTCTTACCTATAATTAAAAATATTAAAAGAAAAGTCAGCTAGAGATACAAAACAACAAACACAGATTAAGCATTTTAAATTGATAGATAGTAAAGTGTACTTAAAAAAAGGAGTAAGATTGACAATTCCAACAAATAAAGAACTAAGAACAAAATTACTCCAGAAACACCATGATATCGAAACATCAGGATATCTGGAAACAGATAAAATATACAACTTAATTAACCTATTTTTGGCCCAAACTTCACAAAGATATAAGGAAGTATATAAAAGGCTACAATCAATGCTAGTGGAACAAGAGTAGCAACCAACAACCTGCTAGACTTTTGCAGTCTCTTGATATTCCACAAAAATATTGGGAACAAGTTACAATAAACTTCATAGTTTAACTGCCTCTAACAAAACAAGCCCATGATACTATTAGGACCCCGAATAATTATAACAGATGTTATATTTAAGCTGTTAACGATTTTTCTGCAATTTGATTGGTTATAATTTTTTTAGCCAATCAAATTGCTTAATTTTGCAAAATTTTAACCTCTGTTAGTTATTTTTCAAATATGACTTTCATTAGTATTGTTTGGAGTCCTATGCTATTATTGTATTTGTTGATAAACCAACAAAAAGAGCATATTTTTGCCTACTCACACAATAGTAATAGCTCCAGAAGTAGCTAAAATATTCTTTGCTACTATTTTTAAAAATTATAGATTACTAAAAGTAATCATATTAGATAGAGACCTGAAGTTCACTAGTAGATTCTAGAAGACATTATTCACACAACTAAGAACCAAACTAGCTATGTTAACTATATTTCATCCTCAAATAGATAGTCAAACGGAAAGGATGAATTGAACATTAGAAGAAATGTTATGAATATATTTAATATATAAGTAAGACCAGTGAGATAAATACTTGCTAGCTGTTGAATTCATTTACAACAATTCCAAATATGTCTCAACAAGTTTTACTCCTTTCAAACTAGACATAGGTCAATATCCAAATACACCAACTATACTGGTCACAAAAACTCTAACCCAAGTACGCGCAATAAACGATTTTATTCAATATTGGGACAACATGATTAAGACAGCAAAATATGCTCTAATCATAGCCTAACAAAGACAGGCTTATTATACAAATAAATATTGTTAGTATCTAGAATATAATACAAAAGATTAGATTTTACTTTCACCAAAACATATTAATAGCCCAATTAATAAGCAAAAACTAGCTAAAAAGTTATCATCTAAGTATGTTGGACCATATACAGTCTTGAAAAAGATTTCAAAAGTCGCATATAAGCTTAATTTGCCCCAAAAATAGAGAATTCACCTTGTATTTTATATTTCGCTACTAAAACTATATAAGGTGTCAAATAAATTTAATAGATCCATACCCCACCTGCAATCTTTATACCTAAATCCAACAAGACGAATATAAAGTCAAAGTGGTTCTAGATAAAAAGAACATTAATAAAAAAATATACTACTTAGTCAAGTAGCTTGGTTACTTACTGTATGAAGCTATATGGAAACCTTTGGAACACCTACAGAACACATCTGGAAAAGTCAAAGAATTCAAAAATCAACCTGAATATTGATTTTAAAAGGAGAAAAATGTAATAAGCCACATTAACCCATAACACTAATCTTTTTTTCCACACATTTTATAGGTTACAAAGACATACAGCAATTGTTAGGAAAATCAAAATTAATAATTATATAACCCAGACTCTATATAGTATTTAGAAAATGATTTGTGTACACCAATTTCGTATAACATCACACATATCAATTTTTTTTAGCCAATAAAATTGCAGCATTTTTGGAGGTTTTCAATTTTGACAATAATTTGTATATATCGGTTTCATTGTATATATATACATCAATTTTTATAAAGTGCATTTTTATATATTGATTATTTGTAATAATTAATACTAAACTATAATAATTTGGCTATAACAATAAGTTTTAAAACCAACTTTGTAGAATATGTGTTTATATTGTGTTAAATTTTTTTTAATTTTTTTTTTAATACTTTATTTAAATTCAGCTCAAATTATTCTAGTTTTTTCAATATGTAAAATCGATTGCTTAGTAAATTCAGTTTTTTTGTTTTCCTTAAAACTATTAAATCTAAAAAGTTTAATTGTCTCCAATCATTGATATAGATTAAAGAAAAAAAACATATTCACAGATAGTTATTTGCAGTAGCTTGTGTCCTCAGGATAGATGTATAAATTTTGGTGCTTATAAATAGACATACCTTCATGATACTTACTAACTATATGCTCGTTAAATTTGGTAAATAAGAACTGAATTAGGATATAAAAAATAAATTATGCAAATGCGATATATGCAAATATCTAGAATATAAAATATTAGCAAAAAAAAATAAAATAAAATAAAAGACAACACATAAGTTTATACAAAAAGAGAATGCTATTCTTCAGAAATGCCTAAGTGATGACAAGCAGGTATATATTGGGAATTTAAAGATGAAACTTGTATATCTCTATTTGGCTTGAGTTTTACAAATACTATATAACTATACTTATACCAATTCAAAATAATGGGTTTTTTGTGCCTTCCAGGTTTTTGATTGAATAGTAAAAAAAGAAAACTTGAAGTAGAATCTACTCCAAATACTGCTATTGGAATGTTAAATGTATCTGATGCTAGCTGAGCATATTCTAGTACATAAAACCAATACTTTTGTAGGCACTCTGGCTGCAAATAAGAAAACATTTATTAGCCGATTAATATCATATCCAAGTACACTATATATATATTGCTGCTTGGTCAATTGGGATTTCATATCAACTTTGACATCTCACTACTTCTTCTCTTCTTGAAATATTGCAACAGATAGTGACTGGAAACCACAATAACCATTGCCAAGTAGGTTATAGACCTGTAATTAATAAGCGACTAAATTATTTGATTTTACAAAAAGAAAAAAAAAAACCAAAAAAAAACTTAGAAGTATAATAATTATATTTTGGGTAATTGGTATAGCTCAATTACCCAAACTATAATTTATTCCCAGCTATCCATGTAATATGAACACTTGTACAGTTATTTAAGATCGAATATAGTTAGTAATATATGAATAGATTTTAATAAATAAATAAATAATAAGAAAGTTCAATAATTTAAATACTAATTCGGTAATAATTTTAATAACAAAGAAAACCAATTTTAGCAACTGATTACCATATTATTACTTATTAAAGAGAACAACTTGGTATATATACATACCTGTAATACTGCATTATGGAGAATAAGTGGATTAAGTTTTATGCCTGACATCATAGTATCATTGCTGCTCAATTTTTTAGCCTTTTTAGACACCATAGTATCAATGCTACTTAATTTTTTAGCCTTTTAGACACAATTTCATCTCTCCATGAATACGCCTATTATTAGAAGGATGACTATGTTTATACTTGACCTTAAGCAATTTAATATCTTTATAATTTGTAGCATTATCAATGCTGGTTGTCTCAAAAATACTCTGTCATGTAGAATCCAAGTCTTTCTGTAGCTTTGGTACCTTACCATTTTCAAGGATATATTCCAATGCATTTTGCATAAGATTCAATAAATCATTGTGATAACATTCTGGAAGCTTTTCAAAAATCTGCACAGCAAGTTGGGAAACACAACCAATTTCTGGAGTGTATTGTGCATGCCAATGTTGATAAATTTCATTTGGTGAAATGCAGATAGATATACTATAATTACATATTAGCATGGAGTCCTAATACAACATGGATACAAACAGATACAAGTACTTGGCATTCCAATATACACAACATATACTTGATCTACTTTATCGTCAATTTGTACTATCTTATATATATTGTGATTATATTTTAAAACACCGTACTCTCCAGATATTACTAGATCTTTTTGTCGCTTAACAAATGTTTCAAATGCAAACTTTGAGCAGACTAAATGTAACTCTTTTAAACCTGTATCTTTATCATCATATATATGTGTGTTCTGATATAAGAATGCTTTATATGCAAACTTTTGTGTAGTTTCTTGATATTTTTGCAAGCAACTTGTAATAAGTTGGAATTGGTTAAATTTTAATCGATTCATTTTAAAAAAAAGTGAAGAAAAACTAGCTAATAGACTATAGTCAATTAGTTATTTTTAATTGATAAGTTAACAAGTTTAGAGATTAAACCTATTAAAAATAGGTCTGTATTATTTCACCGACAACATTTCATAGACACCACATTTTATTGACAATTATCCATCAACAGGTTTATTTTACTGACAGTCTATTTCACTGAAGCTCATTTTACCAACAAGCTTATTTTTATAAATTACACTAATTTTAACTCTAATTCTAACCCAACCCTAATAATATTGACCAGAATTGCTTATCTGTAAAACAAGCTTTGATGAAATAAACTACAGTATCAGTAAGTAATTGTCAATGAAATGTGGTATTTATGAAGTGATTGTCAGTTAGTTGATTGGATTCTATTAAAAAGATCTTTACCTGGCTATAATTAATTAATTTATCCTGGTTATTCATATTTTGGATAGTTGTAATATTTATACCTGAGTTAATCTCAAACTAGTTATTATACTTATTTATTTGTCAATCAGAGTAATATGATTCTCAATGCCTTTTAATTTACTATGCAAACATTCAACATGCTGAGTTAACTTGATGTCAAGATTTATATTTCCTTTCATATGCAGTGAGAGCCAACTTTCTTTATATAGTATTCATGTATTGCACATGTACTTTTTTGTACTTGGAAATTGCATCTACAGTTCTTTAATTTCCTGTTCTGTCTGACTTTCCGAAAGATCATTATACATAAGTTCTCGAACTGTTTGAATAAATTTGTTAATGTTTATGCCCTTTAGCTTATTTTTAATATTTTTAAAAATATACCAAGTACACAGTTGATGTTTTGAATTAGGAAGTACAGTAGAAATTGCAATCATAAGTGCTAAATCTCGATCAGTTATAAATGTTGCTATATCCGAATTGCCTGTTAAAATAGTTAGCATTCTGGATAGCTATTGCAATGCCAGTACTAGAAGTTTTTTATCTCAGAATAGACAAGTGCAAAAGCTAATGGATATGTCTGTTCGAACTGATCAATGCTGCAAATGATAATTAGTGGCATTAAAAACCTGTTTTAAATTAAATAAAAAAAAAGACAACCGAAATACTTATTAGTCGTTTGAATTGGATTTTTTTTTTGTCTCTGAGTCTATTTATGCATATATTCTGTATATATTTATTTATTTATATATATATATAATTGTTAGCTATTTATATTATAATATAACAATTACAAATATGCAGATATATGTATATATAAGACTCATGGACAAAAACGATTCATCGATAAACTAAATTGAAAAGAGCAATAAATTACTTCTATTTTTTATTTATTTATTTATTAATAATTATTACATGTTTCGAATTCTTATATATAAAAGAATAAAAAATAAAAAAATACCTATCATATCAGCGGATTTTTGAAATTTACTATTAAAAATTCCAAAAATATTTAACAGTAAATAACTTTTGATCTACTAATTCGTTTTCGACAAAACAATTACCAAAATTTTCATCTCAGTGAGATGATTTTAATAGATACAAAATTGCCAAAATACAATCACAGAATCTCGATACCTTTAATAATTTGTTTTACTTCAGGTATTTTAGAATTGGTTTAACCAATTATAAAACACCTGAAGTGATGCAAATTTCTATTGATCTCAGGGTTCTGTAATTGGATTTTGCCAATTTTGCATCCATTAGAATCGTCTCAATGAGATGAACATTTTGGCAATTGTTTTATCGAAAATGGACCAGTGGATCAAAAGTTATTCACTGTTAAATATTTTTAGAATTTTCAATAGTAAATTCCAAAAATCTGCCAATATGTTTGTTTTATATGTTGTATCAATAAGTAATACGTCTTTTGTGATAGCAAATTCAAAAAATGTGCTTCGATATGCCCAAAAAATTGCTTGCATAAATGAACTGTCTTGATCATGCTCATTATTATACTCAGACTTAGTTGCTATACTTGACATTATGTTTTTGTCACTTTGCAAAATTCTGAGCAACATCTCAACTTTGTTGAGCTCTTGCAACTTTTGTTAATACTGATGGCTAATAGCGTTGTAAATATCATGTTTGTACACATACTTTGAGCTTACAGAGGCTAAGATGGCATATATGTCCTTCATTTGAAGCTCGTTAACATGAAGATTCTCAACCATGTCTAGCTCATTCTGGTCAAGCTTATGTGTATTGATACTAAACTTTCTTGCGTCAGAATCAATAATATGATTATGCTCAAGGCATACTTGTGTTATAGCAAATTCTTTTTTGAGTTTGCGATAATTTATTCAAACAACAAATTAACAACCCGTTTGTTTGGTAATATATTCCTCCTTTTTACTATTATATGAACCTTGTTTCTTACAAGCAAAAAATGCTTGTTGATAACTGCTATCGGGATTCTTAATCGTTTTCACCAAAGTTATTATGATATTAGTTTGTATAGTATAAGCTTCTACAAATGCATATGCTTCACCAAAACTAGAAAAAATATATTTTTTTTAAAACAAGAACAGTATTAGTATTCATCAAAAAATCAAAGAAAAAAAAAAAAAGAAATAGAGTAATTGAAAAAAATGAAAAAAAAAGAAAATAATAGAAATGAAAGAAAAGATCAGATATATTGAAATTAATAAAAAACAGATACAAATTTAATAATAATCAATAAAGATGAATTTAATGAAATAGGTTGGTAAAAAATATAAGATTAATGAAGTAAGATCAACAAATGTAAAAATAGTAACAATAGTAAAAACAGCGAGAAAAAAATATACTTAAGAACATAAAAAGAATGTAATTTTGTTAATTATTTTATGTATACGATTTTATTAGCTGATAATTTTATATAATATCTGTCAAATATTTGATGTGCATGAAATTTAATGTACATAAATTTTTTTCGAAATTGTGATTAGCTGATTAATGCCAAAATTTTATTGGCTAAAAAAAATTGATGTGTGTGATGTTATATGAAATTGATATACGCAAATCATTTTTCATAGTATTTACACTAATATAACAATCGTATTAGCATAACAATTATTTTACTTCTTTATTTATTTGTTTATTTTTACTATTTATTTATATTTATGCTCTTTATGTTACAAGTTATACTTCCAGGAAAAATAAGCCTTCTACTAATGCAATGATGCATTAATATTTATACTAAATGATCTATAATTAATTTATTTTCGAAACTCATTGTATATTTTAACACTATATAACTCTTATAAATATGCAGGCTTTTTCCTGTATATAAAAAGCAACTAAGTTAATAAAAAAGAATAAATTATTTTATTTAACTCAAAGAAAATAAGTAAAAGTCGCTATGCTCTTTAAACTATTTCTGACCTGATTCTATCGAATCTTACAATTCTAATACCAAACTGTTTATCTTCTGCTGTGAATACTTAAGTATACTCCATATCTACCTCATATATATTCCAATAGCAAGATTCCTGCACCAGGTAACTTTATTACCATGCTATATGGTTACAAGAAGGCTATAGCATTGTAACAATAGTAATAAATTAAATATTATTTTTATACAAATTTTTAAAAGATTTAGATAAAAATTGCATTTATTTTTTAAAATTTTTTAAATAAAAAGCATTTATAAGAATTATCTTGAAAATTTAATATTAAATTTTTTGTAAGAGCTTTAAATAAATTTTAATTTATGGTTTCAAGGTATTTTTTTTGCTTTAAATCAATAAAATTTAAGATATTCTATTAGATTTTATAAAACAAATTTTCAAAACTTATATATCAATACAAAATTAACAATATTGCTTTATCTCTAACATTTTATAAACAATTTGTAAAAGTTTCAAGGTAATTTGATACCTTGACAAGAAGTTGAATCATTTTGAAATTTTTTGTATTAGTAATTAAAATGATTATAATTATTAATACATAATGGAAAAATTTCAGAATTTAGAGTTTAATATGATTTATTAATAATGAAATATTGCAAAACTATATAAAGAGATTTAATTAGAATTTTGTCAAACTTCTACTTTGTTTCTTAAATTTACTAGCATTATTATACAATTTTGGAGCACCAAGTACAGTTTGGGTAAAAGTTATTAATAAAGAAATGATTTGATATAATTAAATATTCCTATCTTAATTTGCAAAAAATATAAGTTTGTTATTTAATTTTTCATGAATTGTTTATGAAATTTTTAATTAAACTGATAAATATACATAATACTGTAATAGACCAACATTAGCAAATTTATAAAAGTTAAATATTTCAAAATAATTTACAAACTGTAAAAAAGCCATAATATTACATAAGAAATTTCAAAATATTGTGAAATATCAAAATTATGAAATATTATATAAGATATTTTGAAATATTTCAAAATTGTTTATATAATATTATGGCTTTTATATTCTACAAAATATTTCGAAATATTTTGTATAAATGTAAATAAGACCCATAACTATTAACCTGGGTTTTAAATCTAGTTTACAATTTCAATCAGAGGATTTACCAAATTAAGAAATCACGTTCTAGAATGATCAACAAATGGATCTCTGAATTTGATTGGCTCTCATGTGCCTTTTGCCCCTTAAACATTGTTACATTTTAAAAAAAAATTTTTAATAACTATTTGAGTTTAATAACCTTTAAAGATGTAGTTCAAGATGTCTAGTTTAAATAATCAAAGTTAATCAACGTTAATCAACTCTTGTTAAAAAAGTAAATGAAACATTAAAAACAGGTATATACTTTGTTTAGAAAGCTAAGAATCATTATTAGTTAACTTAAAATAGTTTTAAGATTTTGT